CTCATCAAATTTGCAGATGACACCAAGCTGGCAGGAATAGCCAACACTCCAGAAGACAGGCTTCAGATACAGAAGGATCTGGACAGACTTGAACACTGGGCACTAACTAACAAAATGAAATTCAATGGTGAAAAAAGCAAGGTTCTACATTTAGGCAAGAAAAACCAAATGCACAAGTACAGCATAGGTGGCACCATGCTCAATAGTAGTAAATGTGAGAGGGACCTCGGAGTCCTAGTAGACAATCACTTAAATATGAGCCAGCAGTGTGATGCAGCTGCCAAAAAGGCCAACACAGTGCTAGGCTGCATTAACAGAGGGATAGAATCAAGATCACGTGAAGTATTAATACCACTCTTCAATGCCTTGGTAAGGCCACACTTGGAATACTGCATCCAGTTTTGGTCACCACGAGGTAAAAAAGATGTTGAGACTCTAGAAAGAGTACAGAGAAGAGCAACAAAGATGATTAGGGGACTGGAGGCTAAAACATATAAGGAACGGTTGCGAGAATTGGGTATGTCTAGTTTAACGAAGAGAAGGAAAAGGGGGGACATGATAGCAGTATTCCAATATCTCAGGGGCTGCCATAAAGAAGAGGGAATTAAGCTATTTTCCAAAGCACCTGAAGGCAGAACAAGAAGCAATGGGTGGAAACTAATCAAGGAGAGAAGCAACCTAGAACTAAGGAGAAACTCCCTGACAGTGAGAACAATTAATCAGTGGAACAGCTTGCCTCCAGAAGCAGTAAATGCTCCAACACTGGAAGTTTTTAAGAAGAGACTGGACAGCCATTTGTCCGAAATAGCGTAGGGTTTCCTGCCCGAGCAGGGGGTTGGACTAGATGACCTCCAAGGTCCCTTCCAACTTTACTACTATTACTAATCAGAATAGAGCTGGAAGGGACCTTGGGAGTCTTCTAGTCCAACTCCCTGCTCAACGAGTCTTGTGATGGGTCTTGTGATGGACAGTTTACCTCAGGTGAGGGTCATTGGGAGATGAACTGCTCGTGAAAGGGGGAGCTTGCATGGGTTGGTTGAGGGTGGGTATTCTCTCTGGCTGGCTTTGCGGTTGATTTGGATTCTGAGGGGTTCGTAGGCTGGTTATAAGTCAATGTGTCTATTAATGGAATTGCTTGTGGAGTGCCAGGCTTTGATGAACTCACAAGTGTGGCAGGTGGTAGTGTAGTTATGATGATTTTAGTGTTGCTCCAATCAAACTGATGCTGTTTGGTGTTGGTGTGGGTAGAGATTAAGGATTTGGGATCATGGTGTTTGATTGCCAGCCAATGTTCGTGGATCCTGATTTTTAATTGATGTTTGTCCCACGTAGAATTGGTTACAATTCGATTGGAGAAACACAAAAATCATTGGCCATGCTACCACCCATCATGCTCGTGAGTTCAAAGACATACTGCTTTTGAACCTGATTGAGGAAGAGGACAATTTAAAACATTGGAGCAGTAAATGAAAAAAAAAATGTGTATTCTTCTTGCTTTCACAAGCCTTCCTACTTTGGCACATCAGCTGATTTTCTCTTTGCCAGATTCCCAGATTATGAAAATTACAATTTGGAAGTGAATGTTATGTTTTCTCAATAGAGAAGCATCATTATTATCACAATCACTATTCTTCCAACAGGACAGTCACAAAGTATGTCCTACTCATGTAGTCAATTTCCCATTCAAATATCAAACAACAATTTATACATGCAGCATGCTTCCAATTTCATTGCTAAATTTTCTTCAGATCATCACTTTCTCCAAAAATGGGGATTACAAACAGTGCTAAAAAAACATCAATTTACATACCCTGTAAGGGCTGAATCCTTCCCGTTTGGTTCGCAAATAATTGGAGAGGTTTCCATATTTGCAGAATTCAACAATTACCATGAGGGGACCTGCAGAAGAAAAGCCAATGGAGAAAGGAAGGAAGGGAATTGCACAGAAAATGTCAATCATCCAGGTCGCGGTGCTGGACTTTTGCTTCTCATCCAAGACATTTCTTCAGTTCAATTTCAGAACTGAAGAAACTTCTTGGATGAGAAACAAAACGTTTTCAAAGGGAAAAAAGCAAGAAGGTCCAGTTGCCATTCAGAAAAAGCATCTCTGAAGCCCAGAAAAAGTTATAAACTGTAACTGTCTTACAAGGGGGTGGTCAGTTGGTTGAGTTAAATATTACCAATAATAGTTAGCAGCAACTCTGCAGAGTTTCAGTTTCAATGATTTATTTATTTAAAATGTTTACATAGCCACCCATCTTATGGCAACTCATGGTAGGATCTTAATATCTAAAGCAATTGTTTTACTCTTGAATAGAGTGGCGGTCCCCAACCTTTCCAGCTTGGCGGCCCGGCCTGATTCGGGGAGGGGGCATGTAAGTGCCAACCGCACATGTGTGTGCACAGCTCCATTTGTGTGAGTGGCCTGCCCGTGCCTCCACTCATGTGAATGGAGCTTTCCATGTGAGAGGAAGATGCTTGTGCTCGCATACAAAGCTCCACTCGGACGAGCAGTAGGCACTTGCGCGCGCACACAAAGTTCCAGTCATGCGAGCGGATGGCACTTGAGCAGAAGGTGCTTGTGCCCACGCACAAAGCTCCATTTTCAAGAGTGGATGGCGCTCGCGTGCGTCCATTTGTGTGGGTGGACCTTCACGCATGTGTGCTTGCCATTTCTCCCAGCCCGATTTCCAACAGGCTGCATCCCAATCGTGGATTGCGGTCCAGGGGTTGGGGACTCCTGGAATAGAGGATACTCCCCTGCAAATCTTCATAAGTGCAATATTTGACATCTATGGAGATTCTCAGTCATCCAGGTGACTGAGAAAGTGCTTTTTCAAGAGGCAACTGGACTTTCTTGAAAAAGCCCCTTGGAGACAATATTTGACATCAGAACTTCTGCTTAATCCAACAAAAGGATTTTGTAGCATTGCTTTTATTTTTCCCATTTGGCACTCAATAGTGATGAAGCATACTTACCGTTAGGTTTGGTGCAAGCACCCAGGAGATTTACCACGTTCAGATGGTTTCCTATGTGAATGAGGATCTTCAGTTCTGACATGAGAGCCTTGTGCTCACTTGCAGTAGCTCCCTCTGAAACAAGTCTGGCTTCAGTTATACATAATCAGCATTAGTCTTTCAATCACGCAAAGCTATTTATATTTCAGTTTCAGATGAAAGGATAAAAAACTTCTACATTATACAGGGAGAACAATTCATAGTAAACAAAAGATCCCTCTCTTCATGCATCCTGTTTTTAAAGCAGGTCTTTGCAACTACATGCAACCTATTGAATAAGGCCATTCATTTATATGGATATTGTGCCACTACAACAAAGCCTTTTTCATGCAGAGGACAAGATCTTTAACCTCAACTAATAAAATTATTGACCTAAAATCTATTTTGATTACTTTTCCTAAGTACAGATGGATAACCTATAGTGACTACCATCAAGTTGTTTTTTTTTTCAGATACAAAATTTAACATAATCTCAGTGCCAAAGTGCTCATGCAGTGCAACTTTTTGGCCCAATTAATTTGATTGGTAAAAGTTACAGAGCTAGTTCATCCCCTTCTGGTTCTGATTCTGAATCTAGCCACCACCTTTGCTAATCCTCCTAAATGGAGTTTTCTCACACATCAATGACTCTTCACAGGAAAAAGTGTTTATGCTCCCATTACATAATACTGCTCTAATGATCAGTTCCTTTGACCTGAATGAAAACATTATTACACTGAGACTGTTGTGCATATTTTTGTTCCAAATTTGTAGGAAAAATAGGAACATTTACAAATTTCCATAAAAATTAATTAAGCATGCAAGTTCATGATATTCTCAGGGTAAAAACATGTTTGTCCCTGGGCTATAAAATATTTTAAAGAAAATATATACTGTAAATTTACTTACTTTTAAATTAAGTACTTTAATATTTAGAAATAAGGAGGAAAAAAAGGTCCTACGGACCCTTACCCACAAAAGTGAAGGTGAGACAAAATATATGTTTTAAATATGTTTTTTATGCTCTTAAATGAATTTTTAAGCTTTTATTGGGCACTTCACAAAGAATTTAAAAGGATTGCCTGTTATCCTTATTATGGTTGACCAAAGGGACACTTATGATATGATATGCACACTGTTGTCCCATCTTGATTTTTTTGCCTTTAAGTTTGTTAATTGTGGTTTGGGCAAGACCAGTACAGTTTAAGGTTGTGAATCTGAATTATAAGCCGATACTTTAGAATCTATTATTATATGAAACAGTATATAATGTTACTCTTTTATAAGAGAAGGCATGTGTCATCCTGGATTTACAATCCTGGATTGATGAAATATGGTCACTTGGTGCTTATGAACTGAATATATTGATATAATGGAAAGATTGATCAATATTATTCTGTGTGATTGAGGTTTAATGCTGTGTTCTTTTCTATATATATATGATAATAAAATTCTGAAGCATATTGCTTCAACCAAAGGCCATGATAAATATATTATGACAACTCAATACCTACAGGGGCAGCTACAAATGGATGGATGCATAAATAAATTGAAATGATTACTTCAAAATCTAGTTCCACATCAATACTATTTATAAAGACATCAAATTTCAGTTCAGATCTCTGTGACCCAGTAACAGTTTGCCACCATTTCAGCTCTAATTTCAAATCAAAGCAAAACTAATCAAAACAATCATTTATTATGTCTATAATGCCAGATATAAAAATTATATCTGCTAACACATAAATACCTGTAAAAGTTTGATTTAATTTCTGATTATTATTATTTTTTGTATAGAGGTGGAACATTAACAGAACAGAAGCTTGAAGTAGAGCCTAAATTCTCCTACAGCTTGGAATTCTAACTATAAACCCTAGGACATAATAAACAAACAAACAAACAAATAAATCTTCTGATACACTCTGAAGCAGATGGAATAAAAACTTCTTCCTGAGTCATAAACTAGCAATGCTGGTAAACAGTACTCTGTTTTTTTCCAACAGCTGCTGCACAAAAGATGACACTTGAACTTGAGCAAGACCGTAGTGTTCTACTGAAGCAGATGCTGATACTACACATACTGAATTGCAGTATGTCTTATTTATTCTCAACGACTAAAAGTTCTGAGTTAGTGCTCAGATGATGCTAACGCTATCCATACTATCCCAGACACAATCTTCGATCATGGAAGATGCATCAGCATTTTATGGTCATCTCTAATATAATTTATAATATTCAGCTCCTAGCTCTTTCCCACAGAGACTAGCAGTGTTACTTTAGTGCAGATTTTGGACTTGATTCTCTACTACATGACCTCTTTCAACTCTGTGATTGGTTAGTTATTAGTATTAGTAAATTTTGTAATAATAAGAGTGGTAACGCAGGCAGACAAGATGATTCTTTCACAAAGAAGCACTCATAACTCCCAGAAAAATTAGAAGTACCACAGCAAGGAGAAAAGTAGCCCTCTGCTGATTCTATCTACAGTAGCAATAACACATTTCTAATTTCAGTGGAACAGCAACTATTTCTGTACAGTGGAGAGAATAGCTTTAAGACCAAACACCAATTACTAAAAGGCCCTGATTCTGTTGTAACAGCTATTACTCAATGCTTAGCTCTTTGAAATATTTTCCTTGGTTTTCCCTACCCTAATTCACATTGAGGTTAGTTTTAGAATCCCCACAGAGAATTAAAATAAATAGAGATGTAAAAGCTGCAATTTAAAATGTTAAGTTGATTAGAAAAACCTGTTAGTACTTTCAAGTGCCTTAAGCCTTTTTATAAAATGAGATTCTCCACTGCTATCAATATTCCATTATAGTGCTTGGGGCTGAAGACATTAATCAGTTGTATTAACAGCTAAGCTACAAGTAAGATATTCTGTTCTGTTAATTAAAATATTAAAATCTCTTGTCTCCAAACATCTTTCCTTCATGTTTCTTCTTTTTACTTTTAACCTGCCAACAATTATTTCTGGTAGTTTTATGGCACACAAACCTTCAATGTACACTATGCCACATTTAGAATTTTGAAAAACAGAAAAGGATTTATCTAATTCTCCTGCTCCTGAGCAGACAGGTCCAAATAGAGCACAATGTTTGATCTGTGGCCCCAGAACTGTTAGACACTCCTCAGAAATCATGTCTCCCTGTTGGCGTAATTCAGGGGTCTTCAAACTTGGCCCTTTTATGACTTGTGGATTTCAACTCCCAGAATTCCTCAGCCAGGTATGCTAGCTGAGGAATTCTGGGAGTTGAAGTCCACAAATCATAAAAAGGCCAAGGTTGAAGACCCCTGGTGTAACTGACCATTTCTCTCCATTTTGAGATGAGAAATACTAGAACTCCTAAGATAAGCATATAAGTTTAAAACTATGACATTCAAGTTGGCTAATAATTTAGTACTTGCCTGATGGTAAGCTACACTCACTTGTTGTTCAGAATCAGACTATGTGTTTAAGGAATTGCTCTCAATTGAAGTGTTCTGCTCTCTGAAATCTAGTATTGTACAGTGTGCTTTCCTCCGAGTTCTGGGACATGAACACTATTTTACTTTGTAGAAATGATGAACTCTTGTGTTTTTTTAATGAAACATCCAGTAATTATTATCCAAACATTATTCACAGTATTACTTATTTCAATTAATGCATTTTATTAGGTATTTATAAGTTGATTAGTTGTCTACAAGTGACTGCTTCTTGAGCAATACCTGAGAGCTCTGTTGGGGAGAACATTTAACAGATATGAAAAGATTATTATAGTTAGATGCCAAAAAATGGAATGTTCACAAAAAAGATAGCCAAAGATTATTTTAGTCCAGTAAGATCAGATTTGTGACTTTTCTTTATCAAAGCACAGTTGAACATTCAAGAAGTGATGAATGATAGTTAAAATCATGGGAAAATTGTCTTCCAGAGACAATTAGTAGCTTGATGGTTATTTCCAGATAGAGCACCAATATTCTCATATTTATATAATCTATTTATTTTGCACCAATATTCTCATATTTATATAATCTATTTATTTTGCCTACCTTTCAGCATTTTAACTGCCACAGTTTCACAGCTATTGCTTTTGTTAATTCCAAATGCAGAGGCTTCCATTACTTTCCCAAAAGCCCCATGGCCTAGGACTTTACCTGAAAAAAAGGAAAAAAGAGGGTGCAAAGCAGGCTTTAAAAAAAAAATCCTGATTGCATTTGGAGGAATTTATATACCTATTCACAATAACTTCAGTGAGACCCACACAAAACAGGAAATCAAGACAACAAAGAAATAAAGGTATGAAAAGGAAGAAGAAATAATGGCATTTTCATCATTTACAGGTGGTGTTGCCTTTTCAAAGTAAGGGTAAGGAGAGGAAGTGAGAGAGGCAATGTCAACAAAGCAAAAGGAAGGAAATCACTAGCTGAAGCAGAATGTCATGTCTTGCTTTTGAAAAGAAAATACCAGAAAAGCGAGGGCAACTTTTTGGATTAGACTGGAAAAGATGGCACTTCAATAATTGCTGTATCCACTGTCCATATACTTTTTGCTAGATCTACCATGTTGTATGCATACTGCAATCCAAAACACAGTGGATGTTGGGTTGGGGCAACAAAAACTGTAGATCCTGTGAGTTGCTATTACAGTACAACTCAACCTGTGGTACATACCATTATCAGCAATCAGAGTCCCCATGATTGCTAGAAAGTGTTTACAACTATTCCGCTCTCACCAGCAAGCACCTGTGTACCTAATCGAAGTCTCTCCCGAGGAAATTCCCATTTGTTGGAATCATAGGGCAGGTATTCACACTGTTCTTCCAAAGGGACTTCATTTGGATTCATGATAATGGAAAGGTAGCCCGTCTTGATATCAGCATGAGCAGGCTGCAACACAGAGAAAGCTACTAGATTGTGGTCATTTTGCAAAGGATGTGTGTCATTTTTTAGTTTTCTTGGAATCCTGATCCGTGACACTGGCTCTGTTTGTCTTAGCAAAAAGAAAAATGGTTCTGACATCCAGTCACTCTGTATAACATCTGCTAGAAACCGATTCATTGTGCGAAACTTTTTTCTTATTAGTGTGCTACATTGCATGAGCAAATGACAGACTAGGGGGCTCTATTTGGTTCTTTTCCACAGCAAGGCCAACATTATTTAGTCATTGCTGCCAGCCATTTTTTTCCCGATAAAAAGCAGATAATTCTTGCCTGAAGAGGGGAAAAAACATAACAGTACTGGAATGGGACTACAGAAATTGTTATCCTATATTATCTTCCTCAACTGATGCCATTCAGATGTATTTCCCATTAAGTATAGTAAAATAATCATCTGATTTGAAGGTTGGAGCTGTTTATGATTCTGTTTGCTACTACAGCAAATCAAGCTTGTTAGACAGAGGATGGAAAAGAAGTCTTACTCTCTTAATATTACAGAAGATGAGGATCAAGAGAATCCAGAAGAAGATGGCAATAACCCCAGTTCCGATTAAGATTACAATTTCCACATTGGTCCTGTCATCTGAGCCTATATGACCAAAAGAAATAGGAGAAAGATTATAATAAGTAAATTACAAATCAAAGATACATGCAGAGAGAGCCAAGAAGGAATTGTTGGAAATTTTATATATTTTCTTTTGATTGGGCTAGTTAGGAACAACTTTTTAGGATGTAAATGATGGAGAATGAAAATTGTTTTACTGCATCAGCATAGCAAAAGGCCTTTCTTTCTTCCAAATTGTTTACCTTTGCTCTCCTGCTACTTTCTTTCCAAATATGCCTATCTCTCTATAAAATCAGAGGACTGTAATTAGTAATAGTACCTTCTACAGAAACACTGGCGGAGGAATTCACACAACCTTTGGCATTGCAGACACTACAAAGATAAAGACCAGCATCTTCTTCTCTCACCCTTTGGATACTGAGCCTCTGATTGGAATCTGCCAAGTCAATCCCTGAAACACGGGGAAAGAGAAATGTATTCAGTTATGCATAATAGCATGTAAACTGACACCAGTCCCTTTGACCTTCATTCCTGAATTTATATATTATTCCAGGCAGCTGATTCTAAGCACCACTGTCCATTGTTGGATCTTTCTTTCTTTCCTTCCTTCCTTCCTTCCTTCCTTCCTTCCTTCCTTCCTTCCTTCCTTCCTTCCTTCTTTCTTTCTTTCTTTCTTTCTTTCTTTCTTTCTTTCTTTCTTTCTTCTTTCTCAAGTTTATATAGCTGCCAATCTCATGAATGTGACTTTGGGTGGCATACAATAAAAACTGAACAATTAAGAAAAAAGTATATGTAAAACCACGGGAGGGTATCTTCAAGGCCCTACATGCAACATAGTCATTTCGTGGACTGCCTAAGTCCAAATTGAAGTTAATTTTTGAAAAATCAGTAGAGTAGAGGCCAATCTCACTTGGGTGGGGAACGTGAGGATATAATGTTCCACAGGGCAGCTGCTTGCCTCCCCTGTCCTGTCAGATGCCCCTCCTGCTTAATCTGATGAGATAGGTAAATGTATCTAGGAAAGAGGGTCCCTGATATAACTTGGTTCCATGCCACGAAGGTTGCAAAGGCCAAAACCAGCACCGTGAACTGAACCTTAAGCAGATTGGCAACCAATGAATCTTTGGAGCAGAGGTATAATGTATACAGTGCCGGAAGCATACCTAACTACATGCAATGCCACATTTTGCACGAGTTGAAGTTTTAAGGCTCCAGATATTCTTCAAGGGCAGCCCCATGGAGAGTGCATTATAATAGTCCAGTGCTCCCAAAACTTTTTTCTTCATTATCCAAAACTGCTAATCAGAAAGTTCTTTTTACTTAATATAAATAAAATCTTTTAAGTCAATTTGAATATCCAATCTGTTGTGATTGGATAATAGGTTTGTATGTCCCTAAAAAAGACGCCACTTTTACCCTAGTTTGGGAAACATTGAAATTGTCTGTTTGGAATGTGACCACAGCATGAATAACTGAAATAAAACCTTATTATTATTAGTAGTAGTAGTAATATATTATCTTTACTATTGGCACTTGTACAGTTTTAAAAACATATATTCCCATACTAAAGTAATATCTATAAAACATTAAGATCCATCCATTTGGATGTAGTCAGGAAACAATTCACATAGAAGGTAGCATGTTTTTTCAAAATTATAGTAGTATGCATGTAATACATTACATTCATAATGTGAGACTCTATTCTCAAATGTTCAGAGGAAAACAACCTGAAAAAAAAACTGCCAAAGCAAGAATAAATGGAATTGGGATCTTGCATCCAAAAGAGGAGGTCTTTCTCAAACTTGGTGCAAATTTATTTTCTGTTTTGTCCATAGATCATGTACCCTGAAAGCATCAGGTTGGTGAATGCTGCTTTTATGCATGCAAATATCTACTTGGATAGCTGCCCATATTTTGAGCATGGACATTAATGTGTTTGTGGGAAAGGGAAGGTTCAGGGAAACTGAAGGAATAAATTCTGAGTTGCCTATTTGTTGCTTGGACATAGACACACACTCTTCACAATAATTTATAATTTCTTCTATTTGTTCAGATTCTACGTACTAATTAAAGATTTTTTTCTATACATTGTTGTATAAAGCTACAGGTATAGGTGAACCATTATGAGGACACACTGTAGCACCAGATGTCTGTCAGTCCATCCCTCACCCACCCACTCATCCATCCAATCTTGAATGATTAGAAACTTTCAAGCTTCTGCACTTCCAATCATAGCTGGGCAATTATTTTGGCCATGAACATTCCATTCCTTAAACCAGGGGTCTTCAAACTTGGCCCTTTTATGACTTGTGGACTTCAACTCCTAGAATTCCTCAGCCAGGCTGAGGAATTCTGAGAGTTGAAGTCCACAAGTCATAAAAGGGCCAAGTTTGAAGACTCCCGCCTTAAACCCATAAAACTAACCAACCATACCTGAGACTTCTTCAACCAGCTTTTCATCTTTATACCAATTGATGTTTGGAATGTGTACACCATCCACCTTGCAGCGCATCTCTATAGAATCACTCACATTTACCAGGATGTTTGACAGATTCTGTTTCAACTTGGGCATCTCTAAAGCTAAAGCAATAATATTAAGAGAACATAGATGAAATGCAAGAAATGTGGGAATAAAGAACAGGTACCCTGCATGATGGGACTTGAACACTTCCTTGAAGACAGCACGTTACAAAC